TTTTTTTTGTGTGTGTGTGTGTGTGTGGTCCGATGGACCACGGATTTTTTTTTATTTTTTTTTTTTGTGTGTGTGTGTGTGGTCCGATGGACCACGGATTTTTTTATTTTTTTCGTGTGTGTGTGTGTGTGTGTTGTCCGATGGACCACGGATCAGATATTAAACTGATCAGAACAGATACTGCACTTGATCTTGAGCTTTGCCTGGCCGGATTGCCTCGCTCAGCCCAGGGCTGCGGCAATTTTTTTTTGTAAGGGACGCCGGGCCTGCTTCCCGGCTTGGATGATTAATAAAGAGTGATCTTCCCGTCCCCGCTTCCCGGCTCGGATGATTAATAAAGAGTGATCTTCTTTTTTTTTAAAAAGAAAGGCCCAGAAGGCCGTTGCCCTTTTAAAAAATAAAAATAAAGAAAGAAAACGAAAGGTCTACTCCATGGGCAAGGTCCCACTAGCAAAAAGGATTGATGTGTTTTAAGCAGAGGTGCAGAAAAACAATTCGATCTCGGTTTTCTGCACCTTTTTCCCCAAACATGTCTGCACCTTTTTCCCCAAACATGTCCAGATGCAGGCATTCAATGCAATCCTCTTTGCTAGTGGGACCTTGCCCCAGGGGGCATGTCCCAGTTTTGAGTGGTAATTAAAAGAGCTGGAAAAAAATAAAATGAAATGGTCTCAAAAAAGACACTCAAATTATGGAAACAATTAAAAACAGAAAAACGAAAGGTCGACTCCAGGAAGTTCAGGAACCATGATCCACTTCTCGAGATTTTGTTGCGGTCTGGAGTGTACGTGGCTCCTTGCCATCTACCAATTATCCCTCTGAAAAGGGATAATCGGTAGAAGGCGCCCACGCCAAAACCTTTTCGGTTTTGGGCCCCCAAAGTTTAGCCAGTTGGTACTATCGGCCCAATGACTTGCATGTGGGGTACTACAGACCCACGCCTCCCTCCAAGGGCCCTACCGGATCATGAATCTGGCTCATAACAGCGCCAGATTCATTGTGATGTAAAAGAGGCGGGCGGTGGTGACGCTGAAGTATCGAATGAGGCCCACGTACGCGATTTTGAAAAAGAAGGGCCCAACCGGTTCATGAATCTCGCGCGGAAACAGCACCTAATTCTGGAACCCGTAAAAACAGGCCGAGGGATATGTGGCCACGGCGCGAAGGCGCCTTTCACCCAGAGGAAAGTTGTTTGGGCCGGTAGTACCAAACGGCCGAACTTTGGGCGGCCAAAACCGAAAAGGTTTTGGCGTGGGCTCTTTCTACCAATTATCCCAT